ATTTGAAAGGTGTTTCGTTTATCATGCTTAAAACACCTCATTATATTGCCTTGGAAGTAGGCAGAACTCATATAAAAACCTAATGAAATGAAACAGACAGTCTGGGAATGGAAGAAGCAGGAACTGTGATCCCCCAGTAAAGTCCTCACTAGGCAACCAGACAGAACCAGATGTCAGTCGTAGGGGAGGAACAAAAAGGGCTAAAGATAAAAGCTCTGATTCAAACCATTACATATAGAAAAACACAACAGAGCTGGCTTTTTCATTGTTGTTCACATGTGATAGTTTTCCTCCCCCCACTGTGTGTATGTTTGTGTGGGGGTGTATTGGGTGTGTGAGAGCGTGTGTGTGTGTATTGTGTATGTACTGCACGTGTGTGTGTGTGTGTGTGTTAAGATGAATGTAATGAAAGCGTTTTAATGAGATGCTGGTCTTTTCTGGGAAGGCTGTGGCAGTGCAGGGTGGAGCCTGGAGAGAGACAGGAGGTTTGTGGTCTGGCCTAGGGAGGAAACACACGCAGGATAGGGGAGCGAACTAGAGAGAGAGACGCTAGAGGCAGACGAAAGCACTATGAATAGAGAGAGCGAGAGAGAGCGAGCGCGCGAGGAGAGCTGATCGATTAGAGTAGGGTCGAGCGTGCTCTGTCCTCTCTCTCTCTCTCTCTCTCTCTCTCTCTCTCTCTCTCTCTCTCTCTCTCTCTCTCTCTCTCTCTCCAATACACATGTGCATATACTTAAAACACCCTGACATACATATTTATATGGGTGGCATGTAGCCTAGCGGTTCGAATCCCTGTGCCGACTAGGTGAAAAATCTGTTGATGTGGCCTTGAGCAAGGCACTTAACCCTAATTGCTCCTGTAAGTCGCTCTGGATAAGAGCGTCTGCTAAGTGAATTAAAATGTATATACCAACTTATTTCATTCTTATGGACTAAAGTGCACACGCACGCTCAGACAGTTCTGCTTCCAGTTCAATCAGCCTAACAAACAGTCTCTGATGCTAAGCCCAGAGAACGCAATCGCTCACTAGCACACACACTAGCACGGATGGACAAACACACAGATCCAAAGCCCATAGCCCCAATAACACACACATGCATGCTCACACACACACACACACGTCATAGAAATGCAGAAAACAGACGTTGGGCTAACAGACCCTGGGCTAACAGACCACTAACACCAGTAAGCTAGGCAGAGAGGAGAAGGACCGCCTGTTCCATTAGAGGTTGACGTCATGTTTCCACCATTTCGCTCCAAATTATAGGAGATCTCTCTCTCTCTTTCTCTGTTACCAGTTAAGAATAGATCCAGTATTACAACCAGGCCTGTGTCCCAAATGGCACCCTAGTCTCTATATAGTGCACTACTTTTGACCAGGCCCACTAGGGCTCTGTAGTGCACCATGTAGGGAATAGGAAGCCATTTGGGACATATCCCAGGACTGGCTGACTGCATGAAGGACTTACAAAGAGGACTGAAGGATCACACAAAGACAATTAGATTATTATTCAATTATTGCAGGAGCGTGGTCATCCGTGTGTTAGAGTGTGTATGTGTGTGTGAGAGTGTGTCTCTGTGTGAGAGTGTGTTTGTGTGTGTGAGTGTGTCTGTGTGTGAGAGTGTGTCTGTGTGTGTTAGACTGTGTCTGTGTGTGAGAGAGTGTGTCTCTGTGTGAGAGTGTGTCTGTGTGTGTGAGAGTGTCTGTGTGTGTGAGTGTGTCTGTGTGTTAGAGTGTGTCTGTGTGTGTGAGAGTGTGTCTGTGTGTGAGAGTGTATCTGTGTGTGTGAGAGTGTCTGTGTGTGAGAGTGTGTCTGTGTGTGAGAGTGTGTCTGTGTGTGTTAGACTGTGTCTGTGTGTGAGAGAGTGTGTCTGTGTGTGTTAGACTGTGTCTGTGTGTGTGAGAGTGTGTCTGTGTGTGAGAGTGTGTCTCTGTGTGAGAGTGTGTCTGTGTGTGTGAGAGTGTATGTGTGTTAGAGTGTGTCTGTGTGTGTGAGACTGTGTCTGTGTGTGAGAGAGTGTGTCTGTGTGTGAGAGTGTGTCTGTGTGTGTGAGTGTGTCTCTGTGTGAGAGTGTGTCTGTGTGTGTGTGTGAGAGTGTGTCTGTGTGTGTGTGTGTGAGAGTGTGTCTGTGTGTGTGTGTGTGAGAGTGTGTCTGTGTGTTAGAGTGTGTGTGTGTGTGAGTGTGTCTGTGTGTGTTTGTGAGAGTGTGTCTGTGTGTGGAGTGTGTGTGTGTGTGAGTGTGTCTGTGTGTGTTGTGTGAGAGTGTGTCTGTGTGTTAGAGTGTGTGTGGTGTAGTGTCTGTGTGTGTTGTGAGAGTGTTCTGTGTGTGAGAGTGTGTGTGTGTGTGAGTGGGTCTGTGTGTGAGAGTGTGTCTGTGTGTGTTAGACTGTGGTCTGTGTGTTGAGAGAGTGTGTCTCTTGTGAGAGTGTGTCTGTGTGTGTGTGTGGAGTGGGCTGTGTGTGTGTGTGAGAGTGTGTCTGTGTGTGTGTGTGAGAGTGGGTCTGTGTGTTAGAGTGTGTGTGTGTGTGAGTGTGTCTGTGTTTTTGTGGAGTGTTCTGTGTGAGCGTTGTGTGTGTGTGTGAGTTGGTGTCCTGGTGTGTGTGTGAGTGTGTCTGTGTGTTAGAGTGTGTGTGTGTGAGTGTCTGTGTGTGTTTGTGAGAGTGTGTCTGTGTGTGTGAGTGTGTTTTCTGTGGGGTAGGAGGGGGGTGTTAGAGGGTGGGTGTGAGTAGTGTGTGTGTGTTTGTGAGAGTGTGTCTGTGTGTGAGAGTGTGTGTGTGTGTGAGGTGTGTCTGTGTGTGTGAGAGTGTCTGTGTGTGTGAGTGTGTCTGTGGGTTAGAGTGTGTCTGTGTTGTGAGGAGTGTGTCTGTGTGTGAGAGTGTCTGTGTGTGTGAGAGTGTCTGTGTGTGAGAGAGTGTGTCTGTGTGTGTTAGACTGTGTCTGTGTGTGGAGAGTGTGTTGTGTGTGTGGAGAGTGTGTCTGTGTGTGAGAGTGTGTCTCTGGTGTGAGAGTGTGTCTGGTGGTGTGTGGAGTGTAATGGTGTGTGTGTCGAGTGTGTCTGTGTGTGTGGAGGTTGTGTTGTGTGGTGGAGTGTGGTCTGTGTGTTTTGTGGGTAGAGTGTGTCTGGGTGTGTTAGAGGTGTGTCTGTGTGTTGAGTGTGTTTGTGGGAGAGTGGCTGTGGTGGGTGTGTGTGTGTGAGGAGTGTGTGTGTGTGTGGGGGGGGGTGTGGGGGTGGTTGTCTGTGTGTGTGTGTGGAGAGGTGTCTGTGTGTGAGAGTGGGTCTGTGTGTGTGAGTGGGCTGTGTGTAGGTTTGTGTAGAGTGTGTCTGTGGTGTGAGAGTGTGTGTGTGTGTCGTGTGTGAGGAGTGTGTCTGTGTGTGTTAGACTGTGTCTGTGTGTGAGAGAGTGTGTCGTGTGTGTGTGAGAGTGTGTCTGTGTGTGTGAGAGTGGTCTGTGTGTGTGAGTGTGTCTGTGTGTTGACGGTGTGTTTGTGTGTGTGAGAGTGTGTCTGTGTGTGAGAGTGGTGTGTCTGTGTGTGAGAGTGGTGTCTGTGTGTGGTTAGACTGTGTCTGTTGTGTGGAGAGTGTGTCTGTGGTGTGTGAGAGTGTGTCTGAGAGGTGTCTCTGGGTGAGAGTGTGTCTGTGTGTGTGAGAGTGTATGTGTGTTAGAGTGTGTCTGTGTGTGTGAGAGTGTGTCTGTGTGTGAGAGTGTGTCTGTGTGTGTGTGTGTGAGAGTGTGTCTGTGTGTTAGAGTGTGTCTGTGTGTGTGAGTGTGTCTCTGTGTGAGAGTGTGTCTGTGTGTGTGTGTGAGAGTGTGTCTGTGTGTGTGTGTGAGAGTGTGTCTGTGTGTGTGTGTGAGAGTGTGTCTGTGTGTTAGAGTGTGTGTGTGTGTGAGTGTGTCTGTGTGTGTTTGTGAGAGTGTGTCTGTGTGTGAGAGTGTGTGTGTGTGTGAGTGTGTCTGTGTGTGTGTGTGTGTGAGAGTGTGTCTGTGTGTTAGAGTGTGTGTGTGTGAGTGTCTGTGTGTGTTTGTGAGAGTGTGTCTGTGTGTGAGAGTGTGTGTGTGTGTGAGTGTGTCTGTGTGTGTGTGTGAGAGTGTGTCTCTGTGTGTGAGAGTGTCTGTGTGTGTGTGTGAGAGTGTGTCTGTGTGTGAGAGTGTGTCTGTGTGTGTGTGTGTGAGAGTGTGTCTGTGTGTGTTAGACTGTGTCTGTGTGTGTGTGTGTGTGAGAGTGTGTCTGTGTGTGTGTGTGTGTGTGAGAGTGTGTGTGTGAGAGTGTGTGTGTGTGAGAGTGTGTCAGTGTGTGTTAGATAGAGTGTGTCTGTGAGTGTGAGATTACAAGCTCTAGAGTAGCGCAGTGGTCTAAGGTCTAAGTATGTAGCTCAGTTGGTAGAGCATGGCGTTTGCAATGCCAGGGTTGTGGGTTCGATTCCCACGGGGGGCCAGTATGAAAAATAAAAAAATAATGTAAGTCGCTCTGGATAAGAGCGTCTGCTAAATGACTTAAATGTTAAATGTAAATCTAAGACTGTTATGATGATAAAATAAAAACAACTTAAATAGATTTACATTTGGATGATATACGTGTATCCATGAACCCGGACAATCTACATTAGAAGTGAATATTGGTCAGTAGGACTAGGGAATCTCTATCTGTGAGCAGGGCACCATCTAGTGTTAGAGAGAGTAGAGATCTATATCTGTGAGCAGGGCACCATCTAGTGTTAGAGAGAGTAGAGAGCTCTATCTGTGAGCAGGGCACCATCTAGTGTTAGAGAGAGTGGAGATCTGTGAGCAGGGCACCATCTCATGTTAGAGAGAGTAGAGGAGGGACTTGTTTCAACATGCAGGAATAAGTGTAGAGGAATAAGCAATGTGGTAGTAGCTCCTTTCCCTATAAGCTAGGTGGTAGTAGCTCCTTTCCCTATAAGCTAGGTGGTAGTAGGTGGTAGTAGCTCCTTTCCCTATAAGCTAGGTGGTAGTAGCTCCTTTCCCTCTAAGCTAGGTGGTAGTAGCTCCTTTCCCTATAAGCTAGGTGGTAGTAGCTCCTTTCCCTATAAGCTAGGTGGTAGTAGCTCCTTTCCCTATAAGCTAGGTGGTAGTAGCTCCTTTCCCTATAAGCTAGGTGGTAGTAGCTCCTTTCCCTCTAAGCTAGGTGGTAGTAGCTCCTTCCCTATAAGCTAGGTGGTAGTAGCTCCTTTCCCTCTAAGCTAGGTGGTAGTAGCTCCTTTCCCTATAAGCTAGGTGGTAGTAGCTCCTTTCCCTATAAGCTAGGTGGTAGTAGCTCCTTTCCCTCTAAGCTAGGTGGTAGTAGCTCCTTTCCCTATAAGCTAGGTGGTAGTAGCTCCTTTCCCTCTAAGCTAGGTGGTAGTAGCTCCTTTCCCTATAAGCTAGGTGGTAGTAGCTCCTTTCCCTATAAGCTAGGTGGTAGTAGCTCCTTTCCCTATAAGCTAGGTGGTAGTAGCTTCCTATAAGCTAGGTGGTAGTAGCTCCCTCTAAGCTAGGTGGTAGTAGCTCCTTTCCCTCTAAGCTAGGTGGTAGTAGCTCCTTTCCCTATAAGCTAGGTGGTAGTAGCTCCTTTCCTTCTAAGCTAGGTGGTAGTAGCTCCCTATAAGCTAGGTGGTAGTAGCTCCTTTCCCTCTAAGCTAGGTGGTAGTAGCTCCCTATAAGCTAGGTGGTAGTAGCTCCTTTCCCTATAAACTAGGTGGTAGTAGCTCCTTTCCCTCTAAGCTAGGTGGTAGTAGCTCCCTATAAGCTAGGTGGTAGTAGCTCCTTTCCCTCTAAGCTAGGTGGTAGTAGCTCCTTTCCCTATAAGCTAGGTGGTAGTAGCTGCCTATAAGCTAGGTGGTAGTAGCTCCTTTCCCTCTAAGCTAGGTGGTAGTAGCTCCTTTCCCTCTAAGCTAGGTGGTAGTAGCTCCTTTCCCTCTAAGCTAGGTGGTAGTAGTTCCCTATAAGCTAGGTGGTAGTAGCTCCTTTCCCTCTAAGCTAGGTGGTAGTAGCTCCTTTCCCTATAAGCTAGGTGGTAGTAGCTCCTTTCCCTATAAGCTAGGTGGTAGTAGCTCCTTTCCCTATAAGCTAGGTGGTAGTAGCTTCCTATAAGCTAGGTGGTAGTAGCTCCTTTCCCTATAAGCTAGGTGGTAGTAGCTCCTTTCCCTCTAAGCTAGGTGGTAGTAGCTCCTTTCCTTCTAAGCTAGGTGGTAGTAGCTCCCTATAAGCTAGGTGGTAGTAGCTCCTTTCCCTCTAAGCTAGGTGGTAGTAGCTCCCTATAAGCTAGGTGGTAGTAGCTCCTTTCCCTATAAGCTAGGTGGTAGTAGCTCCTTTCCCTATAAGCTAGGTGGTAGTAGCTCCTTTCCCTATAAGCTAGGTGGTAGTAGCTCCTTTCCCTATAACTAGGTGGTAGTAGCTCCTTTCCTATAAGCTAGGTGGTAGTAGCTCCTTTCCCTATAAGCTAGGTGGTAAGTAGCTCCCTTTCCCTATAAGCTAGGTGGTAGTAGCTCCTTTCCCCTATAAGCTAGGTGGTAGTAGCTCCTTTCCCTATAAGCTAGGTGGTAGTAGCTCCTTTCCCTATAAGCTAGGTGGTAGTAGCTCCTTTCCCTCTAACTAGGTGGTAGTAGCTCCTTTCCCTATAAGCGTAGGTGGTAGTAGCTCCTTTCCCTATAAGCTAGGTGGTAGTAGCTCCGTTCCCTATAAGCTAGGTTGGTAGTAGCTCCTTTCCCTATAAGCTTAGGGGCCTTCCTTAAGGCTAGGTATAGTCGCTCCTTTCCCTCTAAGCTAGGGTGGTAGTAGCTCCTTTCCTTCTAAGCTAGGTGGTAGTAGCTCCCTATAAGCTAGGTGGTAGTAGCTCCTTTCCCTCTAAGCTAGTGGTAGTAGCTCCCTATAAGCTAGTGGTAGTAGCTCCTTTCCCTATAAGCTAGGTGGTAGTAGCTCCTTTCCCTATAAGCTAGGTGGTAGTAGCTCCTTTCCCTATAAGCTAGGTGGTAGTAGCTCCTTTCCCTATAAACTAGGTGGTAGTAGCTCCTTTCCCTCTAAGCTAGGTGGTAGTAGCTCCTTTCCCTATAAGCTAGGTGGTAGTAGCTCCTTTCCCTATAAGCTAGGTGGTAGTAGCTCCTTTCCCTCTAAGCTAGGTGGTAGTAGCTCCTTTCCCTATAAGCTAGGTGGTAGTAGCTCCTTCCCTATAAGCTAGGTGGTAGTAGCTCCTTTCCCTCTAAGCTAGGTGGTAGTAGCTCCTTTCCCTATAAGCTAGGTGGTAGTAGCTCCTTTCCCTATAAGCTAGGTGGTAGTAGCTCCTTTCCCTATAAGCTAGGTGGTAGTAGCTCCTTTCCCTATAAGCTAGGTGGTAGTAGCTCCTTTCCCTATAAGCTAGGTGGTAGTAGCTCCTTTCCCTATAAGCTAGGTGGTAGTAGCTCCTTTCCCTCTAAGCTAGGTGGTAGTAGCTCCTTTCCCTATAAACTAGGTGGTAGTAGCTCCTTTCCCTCTAAGCTAGGTGGTAGTAGCTCCTTTCCCTATAAGCTAGGTGGTAGTAGCTCCTTTCCCTCTAAGCTAGGTGGTAGTAGCTCCTTTCCCTATAAGCTAGGTGGTAGTAGCTCCTTTCCCTATAAGCTAGGTGGTAGTAGCTCCTTTCCCTATAAGCTAGGTGGTAGTAGCTCCTTTCCCTCTAAGCTAGGTGGTAGTAGCTCCTTTCCCTCTAAGCTAGGTGGTAGTAGCTCCTTTCCCTCTAAGCTAGGTGGTAGTAGCTCCCTATAAGATAGGTGGTAGTAGCAAAGATGTTTTATAACTAAAGGAAGATAGACCACAGCCTGTCGTTTCAATTTGGAACAAATGAGCCACAGTGGGAAAAACATGCAAGGAGGTGGGCAGAGCCTAGCACGAGCTAGCGCGATCCTATTGGCGCGTTCTATAAACATTTGCATATTTCCGTTGGGGAACGTCTACTCTGTGAATTGCGCATGTGCAATAACTCAATTTGCCTTTGCACTACTTCTAAACAACGCAATTTTTCGAAACTTTGGCAAAGGGTAAAGTCTACAAAACTTAGTCCACTCTGTTCGTAACAGATATTAGTTTTGGGAGCAGAAAACTGTATTGAGATCAAATGTTTCATCGATGAGTAAATTAGCAGAATGTCGGCGAAAATCCATCTCATTCCATCTTCACACATATTTGCTAGTGAGTGGAAACGCCAACCGGATGCTTCACATTTATACATCTGGTGAAACATCTGTCTCATTGTTCTATCTGTGGTAGTAGCTCACTATAAACTAGGTGGAATCTGATCCAATCCTTTCTCTCAGATCTACAGAAGAACATAGGGGGTTGAGGCTAATATAAGGGTTGATTTGGGGTTAGGCGCTGGAGTGCATCCTTACTTACTTCCTGGATGTGGACTGAGATTAAGCCAGCCACTGATCTGTAGATGATTGATGAAATTAGGGCAAGGCTTCCACCCTGTTGCTTTCACCAATCCAACCATGTCACATCACTGATTGATTCCTTCATGGGTGAACTGGTATCTATTTATCACCTCTAAAATATTCTATACTGAACAATAATATGAACGCAACATGAAACAATTTCAACTATTTTACTGAGTTACAGTTCATATACGAAAATCAGTCAATAAAAATAAACTCTTAGGCCCTTATCTATGGATCACTCATGACTGGGCAGGGGCGCAGCCATGGGTGGGCCTGCCTCCCAAGTGCCCACCCACTGGGGAGCCAGGCCCAGCCAATCAGAATACGTTGTTCCCCACAAAAGGGCTTTATTACAGACAGAAATACTCCGTTTCATCAGCTGTCTGGATGGCTGGTCTCGGACGATCCCACAGGTGAAGAAGTCAGATGTGGAGGTCCTGGGCTGGCATAGTTACACATGGTCTGCGTTTGTGAGGCCGGTTGGACGTACTTCCAAATGTATCTAAAACAACATTGAAGGCAGCTCTGGTGGACATTCCTGCAGTTAGCATGCCAATTGCACGCTCCCTCAAAACTTGAGACATCTGTGGCATTGTGTTGTGAGACAAAACTGCACGTTAGTGGCCTTTTATTGTTCCCAGCACAAGGTGCACCTGTGTAATGATCATGCTGTTTAATCAGCTTCTTGATATGTCAAACCTGTCAGGTGGATGGATTATCTTGGTAAAGGGGAAATGCTCACTAACAGGGATGTAAACAATTTTTATGCACAAAATATGAGATAAATACGTTATTTGTGCGTATGGAAAATGTCTGGGATCTTTTATTTCAGCTCATTAAACATGGGACCAACACATTACATGTTGCGTTTATATTTTTGTTCAGTATATTATGGCCCAAATGTGTTACTGTCTCTGAATTGTGCTCCAGTGCATTCTGGTGAAATTAATATTCATAAGAAATTAAGATATTTGCTTTGTAGGTGTAAAATGTTAATATGGGGGGATATGATACTTCTTGCTCTGTATTAGTCAAGTGTAAGTCCTGGTCTTTGTATGTTTACAAAAGGGTATAATTTCTGCTCTAAAATGGTCTTCCCAGAACCCAATTCCAATTCTCCTCCCCATTCCCCAAAGTGTGCACTATTTTACTCCCCAACAAGGATTTAAAAGCATTGGATTGGTGAGGAAATATTATCCAATACACAGCGCTTAAAATCCTTGAGGGGCGTGCTGTGAACGACTGCATGCTTCCGTGAGGAGAGAGAGAGGGGAGGACAACTGGGCTCTGGATGTCACGAAACCCTCTCTCTCAGGCTCTGGACACACGGTTCTGGTTTGGGATAAATAAATACCGTAGTCTATGTGTACGTCCCAAATGGCACCCTATTCGGGACGCAACCTAAATCTCCCTGAGCTAATATTATCTACATTTACTGTAACTGAATTTTACACAAGAGAACCATTTCCATAACTGCTATAGAATGTATGTGAAGCATGAAGTACCGTATTGACATACATAAATACACAGTCCCTACAGTGTCACTGAGTTCTGGGTATAACCGTTACCAATACTCAGTAAAACCCTCGTAAAAAAATATATTTACAAACAAAGAAATCAGATCGTGACAATCCAAAAAATCAACTCATCAAATGTGGGTTTATTTTCAAAGTGTAAGAGAACAACGTTATATGTGCATATATCGTAATTGTGTGTTCTAAATATTTTAATTGTGCAACTAGTCAAGCTACAGTATATACAGAAGTGGTGTATCTATCGCTCCCTGGTGGTAGCTTGATGATGGGCTAGTGATACAGACGTGGTACAGCTCACTCTCGCTCTGACGGTATCTTGATGATAGGCAAGTGATACTGTATAACAGTAAATCTGGTCGGACTCGTGCTGCTTGGGCTGAACAGACAATGAACAGCCCCCTTCAGACTGCTTGTCAAAGGTTAGGGGTCAAATCTATTCCAATTCCGGAAGCAAACTGAAAATTCCAATTCTCCACCCATTGTTTTTCCAATGAGGATGGAAAATTTGACTTGGAATGTTGGTTTATTTCCAGAGCCGACATGGAATTAACCCCTTACCCGGGCTGTCTATTAAAGGCCCAAGACTTTGGTATAACCTGTATCAAATGCAGAATGGTGACTCTAATAAACTCTATCAATCAATCAATCAATCAATCAATCAGTACAACTAAACATCCATTTAAGAATTCATCCACATGTAAAAGAATATACGGAACGCAACAAATGTTATGCAGAGAATAATATTTTTTTTGTCTTAAAATACAGTAAGGTTGAACAAAAACACTTAAAATGTTACAGATATTCAATAAAGTAAAAGAAATAAAGTTATAATAATAATAATAAGAAGAAGAATAATAAGAGAACACCGTCTGTCTAAATAGCAACTCTTTTTTTCTCTTGTGAAAAATATAAATCTACTGGTCGTCATAGTCGAAGTCGTAGTAGATAGTGAACTAGCCATGCTTTTTACATGAAGTGGGAAAAAGAAAACATACCCAGATCATATAACTACTGCCCATTGAGTCATTACAGTCCCTCCCTCTTCTCATTGTCTATGTGATATTACACGTCAGTACACATCACAGGGCCTGTATTCACGTGTGTCTTTATGGATGTGTGCGTGTGTCAGTGTGCGCACATGGGTATGCGTGTCAGTGTGTGTGTGAGTCTGTCACTTTATATGCATGGTGTGTGTGTGAGTCTGTCACTTTATATGCATGGTGTGTGTGTGTGTGTGTGTCCCTCCTTACGAGTGAGGCCCAGCCTCTAACTTCCAGTCCCTCTGGCTCTGCGTGTCGGTGTCTCCCTGGATGCTGCCCGGGGTTGTGGCGGCGGCTGCTGCAGCCGGGGACAGCGTTCTGCGCTGGCTGTGCATCGTGTTCCAGTGGCGCTTCAGGTCCGACGCTTTGATGAACGCCTTGTCACAGGAGCCGCAGTTGAAGGGCCTCTCCCCTCGGTGTTGCCGCTCGTGGTCTCGCAGGTGGGACTTGTGCTTGAAGGCCTTTTCACACATCTGGCATCCGAAGGGCCTCTCGTTACTGTGGACCCTCTCGTGGCGCTTTAAGTCGGGCCCTCGTATGAAGGCCTTGCCACAGACCAGGCAGCGGTGCGGCTTGAAGCCCGTGTGGATCTTCAGGTGCTCTTTGAGGTGGGCCTGGGTGGTGAAGGTTTTGGGGCACACCTCGCAAGCGAACGGACGGTGGGCCAGGTGAGACTTGTCTTTCTTGGGGCCGTCTCCGCCTGGTTTCATTCCCGGGTGGATGCCGTCAGAGCGATGGCCATACAGCAGGTAGTCGAGCTTCATATCGCTGGATGAGGAGGAGGAGGAGGTCCAGCCGTGGGCGCTGTGGGGGTCTTTAGACATGTTACCTCCGAAGTGAGGGGGCACCCCGTGAGGGCCTCCAGAGCCCATGGCCTCCATCCCTCCATCGTAGAAGCTGTTCTTCCTCACCTCCTCCATTGCCAGTTCTTTCAAAATGGCGTCCTGGGCCCTCATACCGTCCCCCGGCGCCTGGTTCTCACGACTCAGCTTCATGTTGGGCTCACGCTTCTGTGAACACAGGTTGTCGAGGAAGGCGATCCCCAGGACCTGGCCGGATGACATCATGAGGTTGATGTCCTTTTTGCGGACGGCGAGCCTGGCAGTGTACATGTAGTTGAGGACCTCCTCGAAGATGTCGGAACGGATGAAGTCGAGCTCCACGATGGAGTTGTCCACGTCGTTCTGTTTTTTAAACAGCTTTTTGAAGTAGATGCTGCAGGCGGCCAGGACACAGCGGTGAGCTCTGAACTCAACGTTTTCAACCACAACCACGACGTCACAGTGGTCCCCTTCCATCCTCTGCTGGTTCAACATCTTCAGGAAGCTCGTCTTGTGGTCGTAGTCAATGTATTTCAGGAATTCACCCATGATTGCAGGTTTAATTAGGAGTATTTACCTGAACAAAAAAAATGCAGTGTCCAAGGGTAACTGAAAAAGTGTCTGTTTTATAATAGTTTGGCAATTGTTAGAAGAAAAAAATATATATATATAGGTTTCGAGTGTTAACTCAATTTGCGTGTCGAATATCAATATTGCCGATTGTTGCGAATTAATGTAGATTAGTTATTAGTACACGGCATCCAAGTCGGTCTCTGTCAAAAAATGAAATTATTGTTACACCAAAGCAAACTTCTGAATTGTGCTCTGTTGCTTCGTGTATTTTTTCTCAGCAGTTCAAACCCACAGCTGACCGACGAGACA